CTTCTCGTTTAAGCGAGAGAATATTTTCCTTAGGTCCAAGAATGGTACGGCCCAATGAATGTCCTGTTAAATTATGTATTGGCACGGCCGATTTGAAGCGATTTAATCGAGTCCCAATGAAGTCACCAATTCCATTTTTAGAATCCCGTACATTTTGTATAAAATGTAATATCTATAAGTCATCAAAGATCTGAAAGCAGAGTTGATTCAAACCTTGGAAGGCTGTAGCGTGCAAGTGGTCGAAAACCACTTCATCAAGAAGCTTATCTACTTCTTCTTGTTCTCGCAAAATGACTTCTCGCTCACGTTCAATAGCACTTTCTTCCAACGTGGAATTTTGCAGAATATCGGACAAAATTTCAACTGCGGATGCAGCATCATGTTTAAAAGTCTTGGCGTAATATACAGTTTGTTCTCGAGATGTATAAGCATTTAAATGTGCACCAATATTTTCAATAAAAAGTTCGAGCTGGTGTTGGCTACGGTTTTTTGTCCCCTAATTTTCTTGTAAATCGTAAAGATATTCATATAATAAATTTGTATTAATGAATTTTTATGATTACCTTGAAAGCCATATGCTCAAGGAAATGTGCTGCGCCGTTGTTTTTTGAATTTTCAGCCCGACTACCAGCGTCGATCCATACTCCCACAGTGGCTGTTTGTGCGTATGGGTTAGTCTCAGTAGCGACAGTCAGCCCGTTGGAGATTAGTGTGGAACGAGTAATTGGCTGGGACAAAGTAGTCTCGCTGACAAAAGGACGAGAAAACTGTATGCAATTGTAAAAAAGCATTTCATAAATCAATTGTCGAAGAATGCACATTTATAATCCATAAAAAATTCAGTCATTATAATCTGTAATACAAAGTTTTAGTTATTGATACCTTTCTTGTCAAGCCACGACCAACTTGACGTCCCAAAGCTTTAGAAAACATTAGTCGAGAGGCCATTTACTGGCAAAAGTCTTTCTGTTATCAAAGCGAATGCGATTATCTCTGTTATACAGATACTATTTGATTGGTAATTTGTGAGTCACCTGAACTACTGCTTTTACTACCCCAAAATAAAAATTACATATCGATATCAATATGGTGCTGGAAATTTAAACATATCGATATTGGCCAATTGTGATTAGGTTCTATTATTTTTTAATACGTAATCAAGAAGGTTGCTATAATTTTGATTGGACCTAGCTGCCGCACCAATTTTTCACGGACGATTCTCGATTTTGATTGGCTAACGGCAACGATCTCTTGATTTTGATTGGCTAAGAGCGACGATCAAAAATTTTGGCCCAAGTTACTCAAAATTTTACTAATGAA